TATATATAAAAGAAAGAAACTACTCTGAAATGGTTTCGACAGAAATGTCAATGTTTTACAATACTTTTCTTTATTGAAATAAATGTCGGTCGTTGTATCTTTCATATGCTCTTCACATACATACACAACATTCAGATGAATGAGTTGAGCTACATTTTAACAATCTTCCGGCTAAAATTTCGATATAAAAATTGATATTTTCAGTAAAATAAAATAAAGAAAAAGACGACTAAAATATATCATAACAAAATTTTATTAATGCACTTAAATAAAATCGTAAATTATTCAAGAATGAATGAAGCGTGTGTTTAGATATATAAGTCGTGCGCTTTCATAGAAAACAAAGTTAACAAATAAATAAAATAAATATGAAAATAAAAAAAATCCGAATACTGTTAATGTCATATTTTTCTTTAGTGATAATTTTATCTTTCTGTGCGGAAAAATTTCCCTCTTTTCGTAAAGTAGTCATTGAAAATTTGTTCGGTCGAGATCATCTGTCAATGTCAGACCATTTACTTGGTGCTTTAAGTACTTTTCACAAGTAATGAAAGGCTAAATAATAAAAGGTTAATCTACAACTTTTTGTTAAAAAAAAAATAATTCCTCTTCAACGAAATTGATAGGATTAATGATTACATTATCACTCGATTAGCAGTACAGTTTAGGTAATTTAATCTAAGAGTCATTTGCGATTGAGTAATTTCTGAAATTTCATTTGAGGCACCGCAGAAACGAGTAGAAGAAACGTTTAAATTCATAAATTTAATAGTTTAATTAATTATATATATATATATATTTAAAAAATCAATCAATTCGTTTAAGTTTTTTATAAGAAAATTTCTCGATAAAAGTTGAGAATTGATTGTTTCAATTATAAATGAATCTTATTTTATTGTTTCATTGAATCGTTTTCTCGAAGAATGGAATCGAAGGTTACTGAGTTAATGCGGTATTAAAATTGATAATTAAAAAATGGCATATACAATATTTTAAGAATTAATTTCTAAGAGATGATAAATTTACCAATAATTACTAAATTAATTTTTAAATCGATTTTAATAAAGGATTTTGTAACAAAAAAATTACAAAAATTACTATAATTATAAATACAGTAGTTAATTTTACATAAAACTAAATTTAATTATAATTAAATTATATCAATAATAAAATTATTGTTATTATTATTTTTAATCACAAATTAAAATGATAAAATTTTATTTTCAATTTGTAATACGAAATGAAAAATTTGTTCAATTAAAATTACACAAATGAGAAAACAAGAATATATTAATAGTAAATGATTAAGTAAACGACTCTTATAATCCATGGTTTCTGCTTCAGGAAATTTGTGACTAACTCCTACATATCCGCATCCGAGGAACACCTGAGATCCTTTAGTTAGTTCTTTAATTCAGCGAATACATAAAATCCGCATGATGAAAGGTCTGGACTGTAAGGTGGGTGCTGCAGAATTTCCTATTTGAGTTCTCAAGCTTGTCAGGAATCACGTTGGCAGTGTTCATTATCATGCAAGAGAATCATGCTTTCTGACATGCCTCTGCGCTTATTCTTGATGGCTGTGCGGAGAACTTGCAGGGTTTCATCTTACAGTAAGAACTTTTCAGTGGATTAAAGAAGCACCTGAAGAGTCTCAGGTTTGCCTCGAATGTAGAGGTGCAGGAGGTAATTACAAATTTCTTGAAGCAGAAACCAGAGGACTTCTTCAAGCATGGAATCGTCAGTTACCCAATGGAACAAATGCCTCAATGTTAGAGAGCATTATTTTTAACTTACAGATAACAGTTTGAGTATAAATTTACGTTGGCCCATTCTCACTTACCTTAATATTTCAAATATATTTTGGAAAACTATTAAAATTGAACATGTATAATGAAATATATTACAGATAGTTTAAAATACAGAGTCGTATTAGTTGGTTATGTTAATTTTATTGCGAAAATTTGGCTATTAAAGTAATATACAGTTGAACATTTAGTAACGGTTACCTCTAAACGGCGGCCATTTTTCTTGGGAACGTTTTCCTTTTTGAAATGTATATTAATAACTTTCAAACAACGGCTATTTATATATTCCCATCACTGTCCATTGTTCAAAGGTTGCTTAAAATTATGTTTAATTACACAAGTTTCTCTAATTTATCTTACGTACTTATATAACATATAAAATCCTAAAATAAATAATAAAACGTTTGTATATAGCTCTATATATATTGTAAATCAGATAAAGAAATATTGTATTAGAATAAGAGTCTTTGAATGGCTTCGAAGATCGCTAGACTAAGTAAGAAATGATGATGATGATATCTGTTTTGTTATCCAGGCTAATGTAATTGATATTGATGTTCTCAATCCGATTTTAAATTGAAATTTCTTTGAAGGATTTAGGCAAATATAATTAGAATTAAGCTTATTATTTATTTATTTATTTACTTTAGAGTTAGTTATAAAAGCCAAAGAATAAAACTCATGATTTAAGAGGGTTTTATAAGCCGAATATTAATTTCATTTTATATATAAACAGGGCGAATCCACGGGGACTATAGGGCTTCTTTGAGTTCTTCTAAATTCTCCACTGCATAAAATAGGAATTTCTTTAAAAATTTATATTTATTTTTTTATTTTTTAAATTAATAAAATAAAGATGTTACGATATAAATTGTAATATAATTAAAATAACGACCAGTCGATCGATTGGTGACGTCCTTTATAACATACAAACAAAACTACTTTAGAAAAGGACAGCCTAGGATCGAATTTTTCTGCAATTTTATTTGAAAGACTAAGAATTCCGAGGAGTAATACAATATTCGTCGTTTCGTGCAGACAGTTCATCATCAGCCATCCTTACTTGGAAAGAAATCTTGAAGTATCGAGGGACAGTTGTCAAAGTATCTCGGAAAAAAAAAGAACTGCAGCCACCAAAGTTTCAAACATTTCAACTTTTATAATAAATATTTCAATTTATTATTATTAAAAAATAAAATCATTTATTGCTTAAAATATCTCGAAATCTTCATTCGTTTAAGAAATTTTTATATTTAAATGCATAAATCAAAAATTTTACACGATAATTTTCGCTTACTTTAACTGATAAAATACTCATAAAATTAATTATCAAAAGTATTAAATTTTCATATCTTAATTAATTAAATTAAATTTTATAGCTAATAATATAGTATTAATTAATTCTTATATATTAAAAGTTTATATAATTTATATTGAATAATTTAGCAAATTAAAAAAAGAAAATAATAATAATGTTAAATATATTATTCCTCGACTGCCTACAGTATATTCCCCGAAGGAAACGCTTCTCGTTAAACTCAATTCTATCCAGGGAATGGTACATCACATAATTAGTGATACAATTGGTCAATCAATTGATTTTCTCTGCCTTACCTTTTCGGGCATAATTTCACCGGATGCATCTGCTCTTCTGACATTCTCCTGAGCTTCTCGAGTTGATTGACTTTTGACTTTCGATTTATTACTACACTGGATTTGTTGTATGCACGAATTGCACATCCACGAATATTTCTTTGGAGGAAAAAAAAAGAATATATATATATATATATTTTATCATTTCCATTTCTTTTAAAATTCTGCTTAGCATCAACTATATTTAGATGAATCTAGAAATGCATTTACTAACATTACTATATACATTATGCAAGTTCTTACCTTTCCTTCTACAATTGGGCATTGTCCACACTTTTCACAAAAGCTCTTCCAGCATTTTGAACATTTGATTGATGTCCTAATAGTGAGTTCTGTCGCGTGGCAAGAGGGACACATTATCTGAGTAGTTACTGAATTGGGAAGAGATTCGGCTCTGACCAGTTCTGCTGATCTAGTATATGTATTTTTTTTTAAAAAAATCGTTATTATTAAACTTATAATATGAATTCTTGCATTATTCATTTAATATACAAATGAGGTAATATATAACGGGTATAATAATTATCTACTCGAAGTGTTTCTGATGGCATGTGAAAGATTAACGACAAATTTAATCTATCTTTATGACTTAAAATATGAAAATGTTTATAATTTAGTGGTCAATTAATTCTTATATTAATAATTGTACACAAAACTTATAAATAGAAAACGAATGTTTATCAACATTATTTTACATAATATTTATAATAAAATATAAATGAAGTTATTAAAGCAAACTTCAAAATGAAATTAAAGGAAATTTTAATTTTAATTTTTAACCTCTACCATTAAAATGACTAAATTTTAAAATATTGTATCGTTTTTGAAAGTTTTACATAAATAAAACAATGTTTTATATTTAAATTATCTATATTTTCTCGTCTGTTAAAGAGGTTAATTAATCGACATAATAGAATTGATAGGCCATCTTGGTAGTTGATCCACATTTACGCAGCACGTGGATCAACTACGGGAGCACTTTCTATGGGAAACTGTCCATGTTTAAACTGTTAGACACGTGAAGAAAACCTCGAAAACTCCAGGCGCGAACCTGCGACCAATGTTCGATGTTACTCGGTCATTGGTGGACTTATAGAATAGAGATAGTTAAATTTCGACCACCTGGTTTTATATCAATAATAAAATTATTGTTATTATTATTTTTAATCACAAATTAAAATGATAAAATTTTATTTTCAATTTGTAATACGAAATGAAAAATTTGTTCAATTAAAATTACACAAATGAGAAAACAAGAATATATTAATAGTAAATGATTAAGTAAACGACTCTTATAATCCATGGTTTCTGCTTCAGGAAATTTGTGACTAACTCCTACATATCCGCATCCGAGGAACACCTGAGATCCTTTAGTTAGTTCTTTAATTCAGCGAATACATAAAATCCGCATGATGAAAGGTCTGGACTGTAAGGTGGGTGCTGCAGAATTTCCTATTTGAGTTCTCAAGCTTGTCAGGAATCACGTTGGCAGTGTTCATTATCATGCAAGAGAATCATGCTTTCTGACATGCCTCTGCGCTTATTCTTGATGGCTGTGCGGAGAACTTGCAGGGTTTCATCTTACAGTAAGAACTTTTCAGTGGATTAAAGAAGCACCTGAAGAGTCTCAGGTTTGCCTCGAATGTAGAGGTGCAGGAGGTAATTACAAATTTCTTGAAGCAGAAACCAGAGGACTTCTTCAAGCATGGAATCGTCAGTTACCCAATGGAACAAATGCCTCAATGTTAGAGAGCATTATTTTTAACTTACAGATAACAGTTTGAGTATAAATTTACGTTGGCCCATTCTCACTTACCTTAATATTTCAAATATATTTTGGAAAACTATTAAAATTGAACATGTATAATGAAATATATTACAGATAGTTTAAAATACAGAGTCGTATTAGTTGGTTATGTTAATTTTATTGCGAAAATTTGGCTATTAAAGTAATATACAGTTGAACATTTAGTAACGGTTACCTCTAAACGGCGGCCATTTTTCTTGGGAACGTTTTCCTTTTTGAAATGTATATTAATAACTTTCAAACAACGGCTATTTATATATTCCCATCACTGTCCATTGTTCAAAGGTTGCTTAAAATTATGTTTAATTACACAAGTTTCTCTAATTTATCTTACGTACTTATATAACATATAAAATCCTAAAATAAATAATAAAACGTTTGTATATAGCTCTATATATATTGTAAATCAGATAAAGAAATATTGTATTAGAATAAGAGTCTTTGAATGGCTTCGAAGATCGCTAGACTAAGTAAGAAATGATGATGATGATATCTGTTTTGTTATCCAGGCTAATGTAATTGATATTGATGTTCTCAATCCGATTTTAAATTGAAATTTCTTTGAAGGATTTAGGCAAATATAATTAGAATTAAGCTTATTATTTATTTATTTATTTATTTTATTCATGTAGACTATATTCAACTGATAACGTTCCCTTAAATACATTTTTACTGATATGAATAAACATGTTGATGTATGAAGGAGGAATGTTGAGGTAGAATCTATATAAATCTATAAATAACAACATCACAATTCATTGTTTTTAAAAATCTGGAAAGAAAAATAATAAAATACATCTTATTTTATTATTATTGCAATTTTTTTTCCTATTTTATGACACATTATATTGATTTTTATATTGTTTTATTGCATGCAAATCAACATTTAATGTTAATTGAATGGAATACAGTAAAAAGCATTATGTATTATAGATATAAATAAAAGAATGCAACTCGAAATTTAACGTACAGAAGAAGCTCAGATAGAAGAGGCAACACCACAGTTGGCCCAGGCCCCAGACTACCAAAATTTTGAGACTATGAGGCCCCTCTTATACTTGGGGGGGGGAGTTGATAAAGAAGGTATTCAGTTATGAATCTGAGAAATACAGATGTTCGGTGTCCATTTTTTTTCTTTTAATTACTTTGTATTCCTAATTTCCTGATTCAATTTATGCATAAAAATAAATGTTATTCTCATAACTGTGTACCTATGTTTGTGTTCCCTGTGTGATTATTTATATTTAAATGGTTTCTTATTCACTTTATAATTATGTATTATTAATTAATAAATTCATTAAGACAAAGATCTTTTAGCATAAAAAATACACAAAATTTTTTTTCTGTAGGAGAGAGAAAAATGAAGAAAAGTTTTTCTCAAGATAACGCACGAATTCTCTTTAAACAATTATTTGAAAAGGAAGTAAGTCCATTTCGATAATACACGCCATTATATAAAATCGATAAAAATAATCGAAATCGATAAAATTTAATTATAAAATATTTAAATATATTTNGGCTGTGCGGAGAACTTGCAGGGTTTCATCTTACAGTAAGAACTTTTCAGTGGATTAAAGAAGCACCTGAAGAGTCTCAGGTTTGCCTCGAATGTAGAGGTGCAGGAGGTAATTACAAATTTCTTGAAGCAGAAACCAGAGGACTTCTTCAAGCATGGAATCGTCAGTTACCCAATGGAACAAATGCCTCAATGTTAGAGAGCATTATTTTTAACTTACAGATAACAGTTTGAGTATAAATTTACGTTGGCCCATTCTCACTTACCTTAATATTTCAAATATATTTTGGAAAACTATTAAAATTGAACATGTATAATGAAATATATTACAGATAGTTTAAAATACAGAGTCGTATTAGTTGGTTATGTTAATTTTATTGCGAAAATTTGGCTATTAAAGTAATATACAGTTGAACATTTAGTAACGGTTACCTCTAAACGGCGGCCATTTTTCTTGGGAACGTTTTCCTTTTTGAAATGTATATTAATAACTTTCAAACAACGGCTATTTATATATTCCCATCACTGTCCATTGTTCAAAGGTTGCTTAAAATTATGTTTAATTACACAAGTTTCTCTAATTTATCTTACGTACTTATATAACATATAAAATCCTAAAATAAATAATAAAACGTTTGTATATAGCTCTATATATATTGTAAATCAGATAAAGAAATATTGTATTAGAATAAGAGTCTTTGAATGGCTTCGAAGATCGCTAGACTAAGTAAGAAATGATGATGATGATATCTGTTTTGTTATCCAGGCTAATGTAATTGATATTGATGTTCTCAATCCGATTTTAAATTGAAATTTCTTTGAAGGATTTAGGCAAATATAATTAGAATTAAGCTTATTATTTATTTATTTATTTACTTTAGAGTTAGTTATAAAAGCCAAAGAATAAAACTCATGATTTAAGAGGGTTTTATAAGCCGAATATTAATTTCATTTTATATATAAACAGGGCGAATCCACGGGGACTATAGGGCTTCTTTGAGTTCTTCTAAATTCTCCACTGCATAAAATAGGAATTTCTTTAAAAATTTATATTTATTTTTTTATTTTTTAAATTAATAAAATAAAGATGTTACGATATAAATTGTAATATAATTAAAATAACGACCAGTCGATCGATTGGTGACGTCCTTTATAACATACAAACAAAACTACTTTAGAAAAGGACAGCCTAGGATCGAATTTTTCTGCAATTTTATTTGAAAGACTAAGAATTCCGAGGAGTAATACAATATTCGTCGTTTCGTGCAGACAGTTCATCATCAGCCATCCTTACTTGGAAAGAAATCTTGAAGTATCGAGGGACAGTTGTCAAAGTATCTCGGAAAAAAAAAAGAACTGCAGCCACCAAAGTTTCAAACATTTCAACTTTTATAATAAATATTTCAATTTATTATTATTAAAAAATAAAATCATTTATTGCTTAAAATATCTCGAAATCTTCATTCGTTTAAGAAATNAACTTAAAGATGTAGAATGGATCTATATTTGTGAAGTTTTTATTCTGAAAAACTTCACAAATATAAAGCCAAAAATTTTCCACTGGAAAATCCTGGTAAAGAGTTGAATAAGACAGCATCACTTATTGGATCGTCGAAGTGACGACATTGGAAACGTCATACAGAAAGAGGAACAAATTATATCTTGTTTGGTAGATTCTCGAAATCCATACAGTCTCTTTCAAAAAATATTTTCGGTGTCGTAAACCGCTTTAAAATTGGACTGGAAATTGTTTTAAGACATAATATTTTTCTCAAATATCAGCCGTAGTGATTGCCGAAAAAAAATTCTCTTAGTAACTATTGAAGTGTAATGTAGAAAATCTCTCTCTCTCTCGGTGAGGAACTTACGTTAAGAAATGTGTTTAGAGTTGGCTTGGTTTTCCACATATCCCAACTCGAACGTAATACAAGCAAACAGTACCCTGTAGGTATATATAAAGCATTTCTTATTTCTCATTCCACTTTATTCTACAGTGACAAAATGAGTTATTTTCTAAAGAATTACGCCGTTGATCCCAAAAGTATACCGTCGAACAAAGAGATTTCTAAAGAATTTAAAAATTATTTTC